CAAGGGTTGTCGTCTTTGCGCTCGCAGGAACAACTGACAAATGTTATAATATTACTTACTATATTTCAGTAACATTTATTTATGGAATATATATTGGTTTCTAACTTGTAGTTAACGTACCGATTTAGTCTCCGCCCGGGTTTGACCAGTTACATTCACAGCGACCAGGCCCTGGGGTGCCTTTGCGTTGCCTGCGGGCGCTGAGGCGACATCCAAGTACAGACCCGTGTACCGCGGAGTGATTGGTTCAAGCACCTTCTTGTTGAAGGCCCAGATTTTGTCCCACTCCATGACAGCGGTGGAGCGGCTGGAGCCCTGTGCAAGGACAAACTGACGCAGACCCTCGGGGGTCAGACCGTGTCGAAGGATTCCTCGCACGGTGGGCATACGGGGATCGTCCCAGCCCGAGACAAGGCCTTCAGCAACAAACCAATTGAGCTTTCGCTTGGAAAGGAGAGTACTTTGAAGGGCCAGGCGGCTGTAGTCCACCACCATTGGCTTTCGGATATCTGTGATGAGACAAGCAGCGATATCATGGTTTAAAGGAAGTGCAACGCAGACGGACTAGAAAATACACGGCAATTACTGAGACGAGAAGGAATCAATAAAAATAGACTGCTGGTAAACGCTCGGTAATATGCATATCTACGGTTAACGCGCAACACTGCTCCGACAACGATGATATCAAGTAATGTGTTCGGCAAATCTGAATAATACATTTAACTCAACTGTGAAAATCTTGGCGGCCTCGGGGAGACTTGAATCCATGACAGCCAAAGCTCTAACCAGACCACATCGGGGCCGTGAGTTTTACCACATGGGCAAAGTTACCCGCCCAGGCTGCCGTAACGTACGGACTCGGATACAATTAGCTGACTGCTGAAGCAAGACTTTCCAAGTAATCTATGTCGAATCTAATAGATGGCTAGTCCCGCGCCATTGTCTTATTCGCAACAATAATTTGAAGTAGCGAAACGCAACAAGCAAATAAGGCAGATACTGTGAAAGCCGTCTTCAGCGCAAACGGATTTGAGTAATTCACCTGACCTTAATTGCTCACCAGCCTTCTCGTGGCTGCTGTGGGTTTAAGTCCCAGCAAGGTCGCTGAGTTTTTCACAACTCGTCACTCGAGGCTCCATTGTAACGGTGTTTGGCCCACAATTGAGAGATCACGGACTTCACTGACGATTGCGCAGACGCTGTACTCTTTTATAAACCCAAAAACGCAGGCTAGCATACGCATGGTTCTAAGCTACGTCATTCACTGCGCACAGTTTTATCTTCTCTAGGCCCTTTGAATCAGACGGCTTCCCCCCTATAAAAGCAATAAAAGCCGCTATTTGGACAAGC